GTTTCCAAGTAGCTGTTGGTGGGTTTGATCTGCCAACCTTTTGGTTCGTAGTCCAATGCTAATCCTACAGCGCCACACCCTTGAACACACCATGGTTTCTTAGATCCATCCTCCCCACAGGCTAGTTCCTCTACCTTCACAGCTTGGGAAATAGATTCTCCTTGTCTGCAAGAAGTCCTCATGCTGACTCAGTGCTCCTCTGAGCAGCTTGTGGCCCTGTGTATGTTCCATCAGCATTCCCAGCATACTCTATTCGAACTTTACATTTCTTTCTGACTCCCCAGCTCAACGATGAGCAGCTGAAGAGCTAAGTCTAAACTATACTTATTATAGGAGTCCTGACATGGCACTGTAGGATACTGAACCACAAAGTCGGTTTGAACCACAAGGTCGAGGGCTCAAACTCACCAGTCGCTCCTAGAAACCCTGTGAGTCAGGACTAACTTGATGTCATTTAACAACAGCAAAACATTGTTTCTGCAAAGCCAAGACCAATGTTTTTGGCATGTAGTTGTGATAAAGATAGCTAACATGAATGCTGACTACCTGCCAGGAAATGTTCAAAGCCTGAATATGTCTTTATTAACTCAAGTATTCATCAAAATAAAAGGTGTGGTGGTGGTGGTGGTTATGTGCCGTGAGTTGTTTCTGACTCATAGCGACCCTGTACAGGATTTCCAAGGCTGTGGATCTTTATGGAAGCAGAAAGCCTCATCTTTCTCCTGCGGAACAGCTGGTAGTTTAGAACTGCTGAACTTGAGGTTCGCAGCCCGATTCATAGTACCACTGTTATCCCTATTTTACAGATGAGAAAACTGAGGTTCATACTAGGAAATGGACCCAAATAGGCTAGCTTCAAAGCCCATACTCTTAACTCACCATACTATCTAATAGCTAATAAGCTGTTTTAAGAATGAAAACATGAATCAATGATATCATGGGGGAACATTTACATATACCAACTTAGATCTTATTGCCTTAGAGACATATAGAAAGAGCCTAAAAGATAAAATCTGAGGACGTGAAGCTGGGCTAGTCTGGAGCACGTGAAAGTTGGTCTATTTCAGAGTGGCCATTCCTTCTCTTGCACTGGGTGGGAATAACTGTCTAGACCACCCTTCTGAGGCACACCATACAGCACCTTGCTTCATTACTTCTCTTTTACTTGTATTTATCTTATGCCATCTAGATTATGAACTCCATCACAAAAGCTGTTTTAGAGCGCAACACCTAAGAGCTTTTGCCTATGGGTGACTCCAGCTAAACAGCTTATGAGCAGATGGAAACCTTGTGCCTAGGTTTAAATGTTGGGATGTCTATTTTTCTTGAGTACCTCCTGCATCTCTGACAACCAAACTGCCAGAGTCAGAAGCAGAGTGTATTTGAAAGTGAGTTTGGGGCCACTTTCCCAGCCAGCCCAGGAAGAACAGAAACTCCCTCACAGAAGTTTGGGCAAGGATTGTGATGTCATACCCCATGAGCTTCAGAGGCAGTCTGCAAGCTTTCCTATTTACAATAGACCCTTTACTGCTTCCTTAGGCCTGGCATGCATAGTTGGCTGTGAGAGGAGATTCTTTTGTTCTCTGTGCCTTATACAAAGTCATCGAGTGGAGGTAGAACTTTGGATTTTATCATGATGTCTAGGAATGATTTCCCTTACTTGGGTGATTTATGTTTGCTTTTTCTTATTTTCACTCTTGTTTAACACTTAGGGAAGAGTTGCTCTAATAATTTATACATTTGAGTATGGGGTCTCTTCTCCCCTAGAACAGAGCATGTCTTCCAATTCTTGTGTTCTCCACAATATCCTATCCAGAGATAAAAGCACACAGAAGACACTCAAAAAGTCTTAAATTAAAAAAAAATAAGATTGAGTAATGATGATAAAAAATAAGCTGAGAAATTCCTTGGATTAGATAAATGGATGATGTTAGACTCAGTGCAATAGTGGACAAGATTTGACCAATTGCTAGACATCTCCTGTTTCAAATATAAAAATAAACATCTTCATTTTTATATGGCTCTAATGCACCAGACTGCAAAGCCGTTTGAACTACAAGGTCGGTGGTTCAAGCTCACCAGCTGCTCCTTGGAAACCCTATACAGGGTCACTATGGGTCAGAATCGACTCAATGGCACTTAACAATAACAACAACAAAGCACAAAGTTCAGGCTTTCCTGAAAGGAGACCATTCTTAGATATGCCTGGTTGATTGAATATTTGAACTCAAGGGCTGCCAACTATAAGTAGAAACCTCTTCACCAAGTTTCTAAGCCTAAGACTGTGAAGTATTTCCTGGCCCTCTCTACTCACATGCAAACCACAAGGTCCACTGTTCAAGCTCCCCTGTCCCTCCTCCAGAGAAGATTTAAAGCCTCAGAAACCCTATACAGGGTCGATGTAAGTTGGAATTGGCTCAGCGGCACTTAACAACAAACCTCCTCTCTGTTTCTATCATATTTTATATCTACCATCTTCACGCTGCATTGCATTTCTTTACTTGTCTGCGATCCTCAATAAACTGTACCTTTCTACAAAACAAATGCTGCCTCGTTCATCTTCACATGTCCTAACATCTCAAACAGTGACAGGTGTGTATTTCATATCTAGCGTTTGTTTATGGAGAGGAAACGGCGTGGAAGGAAATGTCAAACAAGAAAAAGACAGATGAGAAGCAATGTTGTGATGAGAAGGGCGCTGGAAATCTGAGGCCTAATTTAGACCCTCCTGTGAGAGTGAAATTGAGCTCTGGTGGTGATATAGGATTAGCACTGGCGTGTTACTACAAGATTGGCAGTTCAAATCCACCAGCTGCTTTCTGCTCCTGCAAAGATTTGCAGCCTTGGAAACCCTATGCAGGGTCTCTAGGAGTCCGAATCAACGCGATGACAGTGAGTTTGGTTTGGGTTTTGAGACGGAGAGTGGTCAGGACACTTGAACTTCCCTGGCTTCAGTTTTATCATCTATAAGGCAAAGAGTTTGCCATTCTTAGATTGTCTGAGCATTCAAGGAGGAAACTTCATAGGTTAGAATTTTGTTTTTGTTTTTATAATGTATCTATCCAAAAAGTAAAGGTAAAACCAGGACAAAATTTTAATTGTTTCAAAGAAATAAAAGAGTGAAAGGGAAGGAGGGAGAGCGGAAGGAAGGAAAGAAGGGAGTCGAAACAATGTTACCCAAAACCTCAAGTTAGTTCAAACTTGTTTTAAAAGAATGCCTGGTATGAAACAATTTGTTCTTGATAGCTGCCTGGGATAATTAACTCTGACTTAATTCTGAATATGTAAATGTAAACTAATATGGCTATTTTTATAAAATACTAAGTATAATGAAAGAAAAAATTTGAGGACCCAGAGACTACAATCATAAAAAATTGTGAAGCAGTCACACTTCAAAGGAAAAACTGTCTATTCTGTCATCGTTAGCGTACTGGATTTGTTCCTAAAGTTTGTCCTTTTGTGTCATAAGACAATTGTCACAACTTCACACACCATACTTTCACACTTTCACCTTTGTCCAAAAGCAGAAGAAACAGTCTCATTTTATCAGGTAGGGAAGTATGTCCTGAAGTCCTCCAAAATATTTCATAACATTTCCCGTTCCCCCTAAATTAATCTATACATTTCTTATGATCCAATCAAAAATATTAACAGAATTTTAGAATAACATTTTATTGGCTTTCAATGAAGGTTTACATAGCATTTTAGGTTCCCATTCAACAATTTCTGCACAAACTGTTCAATGGCATTGGTTACATTCTTCCTAATTATTTCTTCATTATTTCTGTTCTGTTATTCCATTTCCATTCATTGAGTTTCCCTGTCCCTTTATATTCACATATTGGTTTAAAAGTAATTATTGACCATTTGGTCTCATGTAGGTGATTTTTTAAAGGAGCACTGTACTTATGGGAGATATTTATTTGTTATTTGGTTAGAAGGTGACCTCAGAGGTTAGTTTCAGTTGAAGAGTACCTCAGAGTAATATTCTCAGTCTTCCAGTCTCCACTAGCCCAATACACCTGACTGGTTTTATTTTGTTTTTTTAGGAATCTGAGGTTCTGGCCCACATTTTTTCTCGTGTTCTATCAGAGTTCATCTATTATGGCCCAGAACCCTCTAGCTTGGTCTCTGGGTAGATGTGGCCATGGTTCATGTAGACGTTATGTCCTTAAGACCAGTTTCTTACTTTTTCCTTTTCCTTTTTCTACAGACGAGTAGAGGCCAACAGTTGTATCATAGATGACTGCTTGCAAACTTTTAAGATTCTCAACACTACTCACCAAAGTAGGATGTAGAATTTAATGAACCATATTATGCCAATTGACTTAGACCCACAAGATTTTTATTTTTTAATCTTTAAAAAAACAAAAAACTTTGTATTGTGAATTGAGTGAAGATTTACAGAGCAGATTATCAATTTTGTATCCATCAAATCACATACTTTGTTTCATCTCAATGATTGCGATCCCTTCCATGCAACAACATCCCACTTCCTCCCTGTCATTCTTATTTCCTTTCCGCTTTCCTTCCCAACCCCTCTGAACCTTGTCCCCAGGTAAATACAGCCCTTGTGATCTTGAATGGTTGGCCATTCATAGTGAGCGTATCTCACTATTTCACTGTTGGTGTTGTCCCCTCTATGTAACGATCTACTGCTTGATTGAAAATTGGGCCAAATTCAGTTCAGTTCAATCTGTTGAGTTCCAGACTTGAAGGGTGGTCAAGAGCCATAGTCTCAGGTTCCTTCTGTCTCTGACCAGTGAGCCCAGACATTTTTTAATTTTTTTTTTTTTTTCCAGTTTCCAAAGGCTTTACTGATAAATGTGCTTTCGGAAAGGATCTTCAGTATCACATCTATTCCAAACCTCTGGCATGAAGAGCTGTGTCAGAGGCTCAGGGACTGCTGTTTTGTCCACTCGTATTCATAGATCCAGTCATGGCCACAAGACTTGTAGTCAACCAATTCCTCTGGCTTAAATCAGAGACTGATTTCTTTCTCAGCACTTTTTACTGAATCGCTGCCATGAATGATGTTCCTGCCAACCTGAATACAGAAATCTCCATGAATGGTGCCTGGCTTAGAATCCGTTGGGTTAGTCTCCCCAAGCATCACTCAACCTGTCTTCACCACGTTCAGCCCCTCCCAGACCACGGCCACAACTGGTCCTGAATTCATGTACTTCACCAGGCCCGGGAAGAATGGGCGGTCCTTCAGGTCAATATAATGTTGCTTCAGGTGCTCCTCAGAGGCCTTCATGAATTTCATGGCCACAAGACGGAATCCCTTCTGCTCAAAGCGCTTGATGATGTCGCCCACCAGGCCGCGCTGCACGCCGTCCGGCTTGATGACAATGAAGGTGCACTCCGTGTTGGCCATGGTCCCGGGAGCTGGCAGGGGAGCCGGGGACGCGTGTGCTGCTGGCAGAGCAGAGATGTCCATTTTTAAATTTTTGAGTTGTGTTCCACATTGTCTCCCACTGTATCCAAGACCTTCTAATGTGATCACTGTCAAAGCAGTAAGGAGAAGTACCTGGGTACCATCTAGTTCTCATCTCAGAGTTCAGGAGACTAATGTTCACATGTTCCATTAGTCCATTGGACTAATTAATTCCAAGCATCTTCAATTTTCATCACTCTTCTTTATTCCACATATGGAAAGAATAATAGTTGCACCTTGGCTGGCCACTCATGAGCTTTTAAGATCCCAGTCGCTACTCATTGAAGTAGGATGTAGAACATTATCTTTGTGGACTATGTTATGACATTTGTCTATGGTGTCCCCAAGACTATGGCCCTGAGACTCCACACCCAGAAACTGGTTGCCTTAAGGTGCTTGGTAATGCCCACAAAGTCTTCACCATTGTATCCCCATATGCCCCACCAAATTCCCAGGTAAATATCCATGTACAAGCATCCTTCAACAGAATATTTTTAATGAGCAAGCTGATTTCTCAAGTTTATACAGAAAAAAAAGCAAGCAAGAATCAATGAGGAAATGCCCAGAGAGAAGCAAAACTAAAGGAAATACATCTTACCAGTTAGTAAAATAACATCTGAAAGAAAACTGTTATCCTTATCTCGTACTTCATACTACAAGAAATTCTAGAATCATCAAAGATGGGAGACACCTGTGTCTAGAGACTGTAACAGAGAAGAAACTAAATTTTCACTGTAAACCCTTTATGTTGCTTAAATTTTGTAGTCTATGCCTGCATTGCATGTTTTAAATTAATCGGTTATACTTAAAAAGTAATTCTGCACTTTGTATGAGTAATATAGTATAGCAGAAACATGGCAGACCTGAGACTCTGGTGATAACTTTTTTTAGCTGTGGTTTTGCACTAATTAAGTCATAGCCCTGGACAAGTTATTTCATCTTTTAACCATTAGTGTTAGTATTAGATTAGATGGATTCCAGTCTCACATAACTCTAAAATTCTTTAACACTGTAAGGTTACGCTTCTAAACTGACCTAAGAGTGCTTTGTCCACTCTAACTAGTCTTGAGAATTCCTAGTAAGTAACAGATAGCTTACTGTGTAATTCAGTACCAAGTGTTACTCAGTGCCCACTCCATTCACACCATTGCAGTTGAGTGAAAACAGCATATAAAGTGTGTATTGGGACTCAGTGAGGAGTTTCTGGGCTGCTAGTCATGGAGGTGGTTGATCTTCCAACATGCCATACAAATACATAAAGAAAGGATAGCATCATGAAATTGTGTGTCAAGGATGGTGTGATGGTTAAGGTTTTGTGTCAACTTGACTGAGTCAGGATTCCCAGTGGTTTGACAGTTGAGATGTGTTTATCCCCATGGTGAAATCTAATAGAGTGTAGTTAACTCTATGATGATTGGCTATGAGCAACCAATCAATTGAAAGGATGTTTCCTCGGGGACATGGCCTGCTTACACTATAATGGACACCTAGGCAAAGTTTGCTTGTTTTCTGTTAGGTCTGGGTCTTACATCTGGTTCATCCTCCAACCTCTGATTCATCCTGAACCTCTGGTTCTTTGAACTTGAGCCAGTGGCCTGCTTTATTGTCTGCCTACTTTCCAGACCTGTCTGCCTATCTGCATGCCTATCTACCTGCTAGACCTACTTGCTGTTCTTGGTTCATCTGACGTGGATTTGGGACTCTTCCCCCTCTGCAATTGTGAGCCATTTCTTTGATATAAACTTCTCTTTGTGTATATATATATATA